TAAAATAACATAAGGAATGGGTTCATTCATATCAGGTAATGGTTTATCTCCAGGCACATCAAGTGGGTCATTTAAAAATTGTGCCAAGTCGCTGTCACGGAACACTCCACCATCACTTACCCTACCATTAACACCGACATTGACATATGTGAATTGATAATTGGCATTGACTAATGCTAAAAGAACGATACTATTTGTACCCTTGTAGTTGTGATACAACGAACCATCTTGAAGTGGTACTTTAAATTCTATGTGACGATCGTCTATAGAACCAATACAGTTTGGAACGTTCCATATTTCAAAATAATTATTTGCAATCTGTTCCCATTCAGCATTTGTAGTTGGTATCTGTAAAAATTATTTAATACATTATTTAATAATCAGCAATTCGAATAATTCATTATGTGTTATAATTAATTGTAAATTCTTATTTACCCGCAAGTAATCGTTTCGAAGAACTTCGTATATGACACGACATGTCTCTGGAATTATCCGAGAAATTGAACATGCTGGTATCCTTGTCGAGTACTCTAAACTCCTATAATTCTCACCAGTAGCCAAAAACCTCAGAGTTAGTGATAAACGTTCTTTAGGACATATACCATTCTCTCATGTTAGTGTTTTGACGCTGTATATAGGGTGCTACTAGTTCCACAAGTTGATCAAATAAATCGTGTCTCATTCGAAAAAATCTTTGAAAATAATCAGTATCTTCGCTTCTTAATTCTATGTAGATGGGCTAAATTAATTGTGCCTCGTAAATTATGACTTCTTCTGAGTATTTAACGTGTCCATATTTTACGACGCTTTCTTCGTTTCTTTTTTATACTATTTTCTTCGATTGTCTTTTTTTGTATAGCTTCAGCTATTATAGCAATTGTGATTAACTTCTTTAATTTTAAAGACATAGTTAAAAAATTTTTATAAACTTAATGAGTTTTTTTTTATTAGCGTTTATAATCAAGAATCTCTGAAAATTAAAAATATGTAATTATGTATTAAATTATTTCGTTTAAAAATATTCATAATATAAATTAAACAATTTTAATTAAAATAAATTATTCAAAAATATATTTTTTTTATTTCAATGTAAAACGCTTTTTCATGGTATTTAATAAATTGACAAAGATCATATAATTTCATTGACACATTAACATTTGATCGATGTGATCAAGTTAAACTTGATAGACGAGATTAAATAAAATCGCGTATAAAATCTAGTTAAATTACTGTCAAATTAGTCGACACGCCATCGCCAGGCCGATGCTACACAACGAGAAAAAGATATTAGCGTGTGCACGAAGAACTTTCTAGGTACCAAGTTAAGAGTGATGCAACCAAGTAACAACAAGTGAAACTACTTTTCCACTATAATACGAGACCGCAAAATAAACATACAAAGGGGAAAATTACTCCTATTATTATAAACGTGATATACTAAATAAATTTGGTAATTAAAAATTGAAATAAACTGAAAATAATGCATTTTAATATTTTTTATGCGAATTTAACATGATTTCTACGTGATTTGAATATATGTATGTGAGAGCAAGAAGCAAATATCATATAATATAAACATCACGTTTAGAAATAAACTGCAATTATATTTTATTATAATGATATATATTATTATTTTAACATTGTATTATTAAAATTGTTAAATTTCTTACCTGGTGTTGGCGAAGGTGGCGTGAGGAATTTGTGCGAGATTATTTCTACTCAAGTCAACTCTTTGCAGTCTCGTATTCTCTTGAAAAATATCAGGTCGCAGAACCTCCACTCGATTGCCCTGAAGATTCACGTCCATCAACGATTTCAGAAGTCGGAAGCTTCGTCCGTGCAACGTGACCAGCCGGTTGCACCTCAAGTCTAGCTGCTCCAAACCCGTGAGTCCGTCGAAAACGCCGTCGTCCAGGAGTCTCAAAGCGTTATAGCCTAGATTCAATTTTTTCAAATTTGGCAAGTCAGCCAGGGCGCCAGGCGGAATTCTCTCGATCCCGTTCAAGCTTAAATTCAATGATCGTAGGGCAGGTAGAGCCAGGTAGAGCTAGATCCTGAGAGGATACCGTTGGCAACGCGACAATACGGTTCTTGAGCATGTGAAGATGTTCGATGTCTTTCGGTAGACCAGGGACCATTTCCAGCATACGATTCAAACCGACGTCAAGCTCGTATAAGTTCGTTAGGTGTCGGAACGTTAAGGGATGAATGACGGACAAAGCGTTCCCGGAGATATTGACGTGCTCCAGCACTGGTGTGCCCAGAAAGGACTCGGGTTCGATGAGTCCTATGGCGTTACCGCTAAGATCCCGCCGTCTGAGATTTGGTAGATTAGTGAACAAACGTGGTTCTACGTGACGGAAATAGTTCTCCGAAAGATCCAGACCCTGGAATTAAGTACTGATCGTAACCGATGCAGAAGCAGCAGAAGCAATAAAATATCAACGATATTTAATTTTATTTTTAAGAAAGAATCGAAGCTGAATTCGAAATTAATAAATTATTGAAGAGTAATGAATAATTGCATGAAATTTGTGTAATATTAATATTTTATTAAAATAAAAAATAAAATTTTATTAAAACTAATATTTAAGGAATTTTACTTTTAACGCTGGCAAATTCCAAAAGGGAGCCTCCAGCGTAGTAGTTCAACGTACAGTTAACTAGTCGGAATTTAAAATTATCGCGATATCATTGAATCTTCTTCTTTTTCTTTAATTTCTTAGCACTGGGTTCGATTCATCAGTGAATATGTCATTCCACAATAGAACCAACCTCATAGAAGTTAGCCGGACAATTTCGACTTATGACATTTTTTTTACGAATCGATTGTTAGTCGTTTGTTATTGATTGTTAGACTAATTAGAACATTTGTTAGTTAATAGTTTTTACGTAATTACGAAAATAATTTTTAATGTTAATTTAGCCGGTAAATATAGAATTCTTTACAATTTTTTATTCAAACCGTGGTAAATCGATGCGGAATTGTTTGTTAGTTCCAAATATACTAATTAAAACGTTTGTTAGATCACGGTTTTGCTAAAAAAAAAGCGACAAACTGTATATCGTCAGAGAGAAACCTGAGAGCGGCCACCGGGATCATTCCGTTCCAGCG